TGGGTGACTCTAAATATTTAGCCTGTGCAAACGTGTGACATCCACATACCTGTTGTTCTTACTGTTATTTCTTTGGTGTTCCATCTCAGCCATATCCTCTGCCCCCACGTCCCCTTTTCAAAACCCACATAATGCTTGAAATGCTTTCTCCAGCTCTAAACACATTCTTCCAATTTGCCTTAAATTTCCCTGTGGGCCCACTACTTGGTCCTGCATGATCCCACCTCCTCCTGGCCTAACCTCTCTACTGCTGCCCAGATCTTCAGACCATCATCTTTGTAGTGATAGTTGGGCAACGAAGACACTCCACGGGCCTTGATATCTTCTGGGAGACAAAGGGAGGAATACATCGTAGCTGCCGTCCCCTTTTGCAACAGCTGGACCAAGCCCTCAAAGCCGGTGCCAATTGCCTAGAAGGAGAATCGGAACAGCGAATCCAAGTTATCAGATGGAGCCTACTTGAAGACAGGCCTGGTCTGGTGAATTGCAGGCTAACGTACCTTATCAAACACTCCTCCTTTTGCAGCAAGGAGGGTCCGGGCCAAGGTGTTGATGTGAAGGGTATAGCGGGTGTGAGGGATCAGGAGCTGCCAAAGAGAAGATTGAGAGGCAAAACATGTTCCTCACTGGTACCATCTCGTCCAGACCTCTACGGGGCACAATCTCATACCAGCTTTTCTCAGCGTGGCACCAAATATATTGGCTTGCATTCCCCATCGTCCTCAGCCATCAGCCATGGACAGGTTGGGGAAGGCAGCTTACTCACTGGGTGACTTGCTTGGGCTGTGTTGAGTTCAAATTCTCTCCCAGAAAAGGAATGCAGTAAATTTTTCAGCATACTTGGTTGAAACTTGGTTTCAGTTTTGCTGCTTTTATATATACACAGCCAAGTTTTTCCTTCTCCTAGGAGCTTCTTGTTATTTCCTAGGAATTGCCCACATTATGGGCTCAAAAATGAGAAACTTGCCAGGCAGAAGAAAAGGGTAGGAAAAGGCAGGACTTCTTCTGAGCATCTTTCTGAGCTGAGTCAGCCAGCAAGTAACTAGTTTCATGCTGTGTTGGCTACGCAATGCAGAACTGAAAAGATAGACTCATCTACAGTCATATCAATGAGACTCATGTACCTTCTGAAAGTCCACACTGTTCCCCAAAAGGCAATATTATCTTGTCACAAAAGTAATATATTGTACACCATGACAGGACTGGCAGATCATTCAAACCTTCAGATGCAGGAAGACATCCATCAAACTACCAAGCCCAACAAAAGGAAGATAATGAGGTCCTTCTGCTGTAGAGCCACACTAACCACTGTAAACTATGGGATGGTGAGGAAGGAACCCTGAGTGAATCAAGATTTGAACCAAAGCCCATGATTTCTGTCACGCTTGAAAAATGTTCTACCTTGTAGAGAGGATGACACATCGGAAGCTGGCGGAGAGTCGCTATGGTGAACACCTCCGCCAGGAGGTGCGTCCGGAGCAGGTGGGTGAGAGCCTGGTGCACGAGGAAGTCAGAATTGCGCACCCAGGTCTTGGCCAGGATCCAATCCCATTCAGGATCGCTGGGCAGGAAGATGGGTGAGTTGGAAGACTGGCTAAGCTGTGAAAAGGAGCAGAAGCCAATCCATCAGGAGGTGTGTGTGTGTGTGTGTGTGTGTGTGTGTAAACAACTTCTAGAACAATGTTTCTCAACCTTGGCCACTTTGAGATGAGTGGACTTCAACTCCCAGAATTCCCCAGCCA